CCCCAAAACCCCAAAACCCCAAAACCCCAAAACCCCAGAAATTCTCCTATCTGAATAATTATAATTTATTCTTCTTTCCCATTGGAGGGTTTGGAATAAAGCACTTGCCGTACCCTCCAAGCTTATAAGATAGAGCCATTTCTCAGAAGCAGTCAGGATTCATTTTATCCAAATCTAAACGAATTATCTTACCCAGATCATCCAATCTTACCTTCTGAGTTCTCGTCCATCTCCAATGTCTCATTGAAAAGTTCGCTAATCCGGTCTCTTGACATAGATTTCTCTACTAAATCAGTAACCATAATTACCAAGATGATTGATTAGCTGCTCGAATTCCTCAAAGGATAGGACTTGGTCACCATTATCATCGAATTCTACAAATATTTTCATGAGTTTCTCATTAGTTCTCAAAATATGATCGTCCCACTCCTGCAGCAGTAACTCGATGAATCTGAGCTCAGTGATCCTGTACAGGTCGTAATATCTAGAGGAATTAGGAAGAATCTTACGTCTCAGAATAGTTGTTCCAGAGGTAATGTATCCTAGCTTTTTCTCCAGCTTTGTTCTTGGTCTCTTCCTCAAATAGTATATGCAAATTTTTGGCCTCTTCTTCTCCAAAGAAGATGTTAAATTTGTCTCTGAGTCCGTTCAGGATCTCATCAGCATCAAGTGTCCCATCTCCGTCCTTATCAAGTGTTTGGTGGATATACTTAATGGTCTTCCCGAGTTTGGCTGCTTTATGGCAAATTTTAACCAAAGAAAAATCAATGTAAAACTGGTCTATCGCTTTTTGGTTGTCCTTGATCTCTTCTGGAATATCAGGAGTAAGCTTTGGGATAAAACTCGCGAGAAGTTCTTTGTCTTTATTACACCAATTTGTGAAGACATCAATTACTTCAAGCAAAGATCAGTTTCCTCCAACTTGGAAATCTGCAAAACTTAATTTAGAGAATGCTGAGTCCTTTCTGATTTTAATTGTTTTCTTACAATGCTCCTGAGCTTCATTCCAGAGAGGCTTAGCTTTGATGATCAAGTTTACTTGTTCTTGGCTATAGGAAATTTCTGGAGACCCTTCAAATCCGAGTATGGATGAAAGCAACTGTGAGTATGCCATCTTGCCTGGATTATCTTTCTGATACACCTTTGATGAAGCTGCTAATCCATCTTTCAAAGATATCAAATTCTTCACTGCAATAGTTTTCAAACCAAATTTCATACTCAGTTGGTCAAGAGCATAGTTTGGTAGGAGCTTGATCTTCTTGTTTGAGTTTTCAGAATCAATATCGTTCTTCAATTTGTCGGATAGCAACCCTGAGACCATCTTCAAAGCATTACTTTCAATCATTGGCTGCACTTTATCTTTCTTATTATTAATCATGAACCTTCCGATTGTTTTAAGTAAGTTATTTTTAGGCCCTTTCACTTTCTTTTTACCATCCTTTTCTCCATATGCATCATTGAAGCTGTTTACAAACTCAGCTTTGCCTAAATCAGCTGGAGGCATTGTCATATCGGTCTGTATCTCAATTGTCTGGGCATCTTTTGGAGGAGGAACAAGCAACTTTTTAATGAGAGTCTCTGGGATTTCGTCAAGTACCCTGAATACCTCTTCTTTTTCAAGCATAATTCTATCCTTCTCTTCACCGTTAATCACGAAGAGCTCGGTGTAGTTGGTATATAGGTACTCCAAAAGCTCATCAACAGCTCGTGGCTCTTCTTTCTTCTTGCCTTGGAGGATGATATCCTCTTCAAACTCTGGTTCTTCAGAGGATGCTTTCTTCTTTCTGTTCTTTCTCCACATTCTGAACTTGCTGAGGTCGACTCCCTTTCTTTCCTTCTCTTTTTGCTTAAGAATCCTATTGATAATATTTAGTAACTTCTGACAAGTCTCCATTTGGGGTTTCTTTTCGTTCCAAGCCTGGAGCATGTTGTCATCAAGGTCTCTGTAATATGTCTTCAGTGCAATAATATCGACATCATTTCTGATACAGTTAAGCTCGAAGCTTCTGTCCTCAGCGATGATGGTCATCAGGTGCTTGTCTTTCTTCAAATTTTCAAATTTCTTATTCAGATCATTTATCTGTTTTAAAAAGTCATTCTGAATTTGCTTTGTTTGCTTATTTTTATCATCAAGCTTTTTCTGAAGTAGTAGATATTTATCCTCATATTTCTCCATTTCAGCAAGCTTATTTTTCAGAGCTTGATCATTTTCAGTGAAGATACGATCTTGAGCGAAAAGGATTGACCTCCAGAGGTGATCAAGATTCATTGCAAATAGAGCTCGTTCTTTCCAATCCATTTTGAGGCTATTTCCACCATTGTTCTTAACATTTAGGATAATCCTGATCAATTTCTTGAAGACTTTCCCATAATCTCAAAAGTCATTATTTTGTATCTTCAATAGTGTATTCTTTCTTCTTGCAGTCTAAGATATCTTGTAGCTCAGACTCTAAAATGGCTCGGATGCCTTCAAGAGACTTGACATTAGTTTGCTCTAAATTTAGTGGCAAAAGAGTACCTCTTTCTTGGTCTGGAAGTTCTTCAGTGAATCCATAATTGACATAAGATCCATCATTATCTATCTTACCAGGAGAGTCAGGCTGTGAGTCGATTTCAAACTTCACTTCTGGTTGAGTAAGTGTATTAAGATTCATCTCAAGATCATTAGCACATAGTTTCATAGCTCCCAGGCATTGTACATACTCATCATGAAAATTTCGAAGGACCTAAAGCTGAGAAGGAGATATCTTACGCTCTTATTCTTCCTAGTTTGTCATAATTTTTCAAAAATCTGCTTATTTCCTCTTGAGGTTCTTCTCCTCCTGGATTTCTTTAGAAACAGGGCTTTCTTTGATTCTAATGCCTTCAAAGGCGTGATATCCCATATCCTTTATGATCCTAAGGTTGTTGTCTATTTTCTTGATGCTATTTCTAGTGCTTAGAGTAGATGTCTTGTTCCTAGTAGTGATCTCTTCTGCTTTATTCTCAATTTTTGTGTCTGCAATGTTAGAGTCCTCGTTTGTCATACTCTGGGTTTCCTTTAAGTTATTAAACTTCCCTAGAGTTCTTAGACAACAGAGTACTATTAATAGAATCAAACCGTGATTTTCCATTAGTGGTGATTGTATTCCTGAGAACCTTATTGTTTGGATAGCCTTTTGATCTAAGGAGTAAGCATCAGACTTACCGTCCTAGCTGAGACTTTGAAGGCTGCTTAAAGACTCTCGGCTCTCTAGTTTTCTCTTCAACTTTTAGAGTGGAATTATTTATGTTGTCAGTGAGAGAAATAGAATTTGAATTTTTCTTGTATTTCAATACTGATTTATAAAGAAAATATTTCTTTTCAAAGCTTTCTTCAGCAATTCTTTGGGGCCTTTTGTTCAGAAATCTATTTTTAGATCCTCTACGAGTGCTTATTTGAGAAGCATTTCTATAATTCATGCTGAATCTTCTTCTGTGACGATCTGCAATTTCGGGTTGCGATTGGCCATCAACAAATCCTTTATCTAAAATTTAGCTTAACTATACCATAAATAATCAAATTAGAATGATTTGTGAACACATGTTTCTTCCTTTTGTGACCTTCAAGAATATTTATTTTCTGTGCATTTACAGCCAAATTTGAAGAAGGAGCTCTTGAAGTGACAGTCTTCTTCATCTGATTATTTTCACCCTAATTAAATATTATATCCTCATCAAGACCTATCCGTACCTCAGAAGGCAATTTAATGATTACTTTACCCTTACTTGTACTGGCATCTAAGAGACGTGAATAAGGGGCTTACTCGACATTCTTCTGCTTTCTTTATTTTGAAATTCCAGATTTATCAAGCAAAGAGCTCATAGAATCATCTAGGTAATAATTAAACTGTTTTCAAATTCAATGTAAAATTCATGTAAAGCTAGAAGTAGATCTCACCATTTCTGATATACTCCTTGCTCTTCTTAGCTGTCAAAGGTAGGATATTATGATAAACCTGAATGCGTTCGGTCTTCTCCCCTTTCCTTCTCTTCGCTTTCCCCTGCTTAATGTCCATTTTCAATATTTTTGAAATAAAAAGGGGTTTTGGGGTTTTGGGGTTTTGGGG